TATAATGTACAATGTATATACATACATTTTTTAAAATATTAAAGCACTATATATATTACATACATGTATATGGGCGTCAACCACAAACAAAAACATTGAAGCTCTATATATAACATATTTGCTGGCTTTGGCTATTTTCATGAAAAACTGTACTGTATTGCGTCGTAAGTAGTCCTCTTTTTCAGCCTCAAACATCTGTGCCCTTTTCCACACATTTTGCATTACATTAGTAGGCTTCTTCTTTTGACGCAGCGCACGAATTTCCCCCACGCTGTTCTGCATACTTTAAAACGTCTTGAGGCATATCTTTGTTAACACCTTCCATGGGGAGGCCCCAAAGGATGAAATCTGGTTCAGCCAAATTGGGTAACTTGGCAGGCCAGTTGAAACCGGCACCCTTTGAGATGATTTTATCTCCAAATGTATCCTTCTCACCAACTACATGTATGTATGTTATATAGTATTTATCTAGAATACATATTACCATACAAAAAATATATGCGCTTTCGGTCTGAACCAACACTTGGGACACGTTTTTTTCCAGAACATTGGACCTGGTCAAGGCAACAGCATAAATGTACGGCGCCACATCCAACAGGTACTGGCGCCTGTGATTTTACCTCATTTCCAGCAACACCCGAACCTTATCCTGCAGCAGGACAATGCCCGACCCCATACTGCAAGAGCTACAGCAGCCTTCTTACAGCAGAACAACGCCTATGCTGCCACGGTCCTCAACGAGCCCAGACCTCAACCCGATGGAACCCTACTGGGACCACATCCAAAGAGTACTGAATCGTTTGCAGCCAAGACGAACAAGAGCACCTCAGCAGCAGCGGCCATCACACAAATTGGGGCAAATGTGAACATGGCCGTCAATCACAGACTTGTGAGGTCTATGCCAAACAAATACCAAGCTGTTGTGAACGCAAATGCGGGCACACACGCTATTGATTCAAATTTGACATCACCGACTTATGGACATACCCTTTAACTCCAGTACATCATTTTTCACAGCAAATTCAACTACTCCAACGGGACTGTTAAACGTTACGGAGGAATCCTCTTCAATAAATGTGACCACAAATCAATAAAATCACAAATTACTTACCAATAAAATCACAAATTACTTACCAATGTCCTCATCTTCCTTTATTTTATCACTTGCGTTCCTTTTGTTTATATATATA